ATAAAGAATTCACAAAACTCCACTCCAGAAAGGCAAACAATTGAATTAAAAATTGGGCAAAGGACTAGAATAGACACTTCTTCAAGGAGGACAGATTTTAATTTAGATTTTTAAATATTTTTTATCAAATTAAATGCTAAGGAAATCACATTTTGCCTCTACCATAAAATGATCAGTAGGATAAAATTTAATGAAAGTTCTGTTGCATCACCTCGTGGCTGGAATTAAAACTGCATCCTTTAATTTAAACTGGGAAAGAGCCCACTGGGTAACAGGAGACCAGAGACCCAGAGATGCCAGGTTGGGAAGGTAGGCACCACTAGTCTGTCCAGGAGAGCACAATGTGTCACTGTTTGCTGTTCTAGTAAAAATGGAGAACCCATCCTTACAGGATAACTTACAAGAATCTGTGTTTGTGAGTAGTGGCAAAGGAATGATTCCTATCTTTCACACGCATGACACTCACCTCACATATGTCAGAGGTGTGAAACCAGAGCATTCCAAGGGGACTTAGTACATTTAAATCTCACTAACTTTAATTTTTCACAGATGGTATCAGTGATATTGTTACTAGACTTTCTTAAAGTATTTTCAACAATGCTGTATAACCCAAAGGGGCACCCCAGATATTCATCCATAGTCCCTGCTCTGCAGCACCTCTCAATGAGGGGAGGACTCTAAATAAATGATCAATACACATCCTTGGTGTGTAATGATTAAGTGACTGAAATCATATAAAGTGTTCATGTCAGTACCTGGCATATAGTAAGTCATGTTCTTGTTATTACTATTTTTACTGAGAAATGAAACGCTTCTGTCACAGGGAAGTTTATGTACAGATAAAGTCACGTTGTTCACAGGAGAAAGAGTTAGATTTGTCCTCATGGTTCCATCTAACTGGTGATTCCCATGTGTAAATATGTGACAGTGAAACTCCTAAAACTGGTTTTGTCAGTTCTCAGGGAAAGCTTGATGGATATGACTATAACTAGTGTGTGCAAACACTGAGTGTGCAGTTGGGTCCCATATCTCTTAGAATTCAGTAAGTTACATTATTCACTTTGCAAATTATCTATCCCAGTTGGCTGCTGCTTCCAGCAGTCGCCAGTCATAGTATGACTTACAGTCAATGGCTTGGGCAACTGGAAGCAGAATCCCTTCCATGGACAGATCACCCACCACTTGTTTTTTAGGAATGGAGTTTAAAGAAGAACAAATCATGTCCTTTTATTATAAGCAAGGTTTAGTTGGACAAATCCCTGTAGACCCTTGTTTATACTTGAGGGTAACTTAAAGCCACAGTGAGTTATAAATTATTTATAGTCTTAAGTTCTATTTCAAAGAAGCAGGAATGGGCCTAGAAAATGAGAAATCCTACAAGTAAACTTTACGAGCTTTACAATTATGCTGTAAGCTTGCCATTGTTAAAAGAACTTCCTGGGTATAGGAGCTACCATCTAACCTATAGGTTATGTTTTGAATAAAAGTAGAATTTCTCCCAATTCTATTTAAATCTGCAGAATTCTTATTCAAATCTGTAAGATAACGCACAGTTTTTATACAGCACTGAATTCCACATTGTTGAAAATGGAATGATATTTAACAGTTTCATTTCTTACATCAGACTATATTTTAGGTCTGTACAGAAAGTACCCGGCCATGTACAGTGAAAACTGGAAACATTTATTTAAAAAGATACAAGGTACTTGAAACATTGTATATAAGACAGTGATATCTCAGTCCCCTTCAAAGTAGGCACCGTAGAACCTCACAGTTCTCCCAACTATAGCACAATATTCTTTCTGCCCTAGTAGCAGAAGCTGCCAAATGAATTGTGCCCCAACATGCTTCATGCCAAGATCCTACGTCAAAATCTTGGACACAGTATTTCTTGGAATCCCCATATCAGCTTCTAGTTCTTGCACTATCAGTCACCAATCTTTGTTGACTGCAGCCTGTATACATTCAACATTCTGGGGTGTTCTGCTTGTTGCAGGCCTTCCAGAATGTGGATCACTTTCAGCAGATTCTTGACCATCTTTGAAGTATTTGTCACACTTTTATTTGTGCTGCATTAATTGCATCATCCCTGAAAGCCTTCTGAATTATCCAAATAGTTTCCACTAAGGAATGTTCAAGCTTAATGTAAAATCTTATGCAGATTCATTGTTCTACTCAGTCATTTTGAATATGATGGCCACAAAGTACACATGCTCATTCAATAGTGTCTACCACCTCCACTGACTAGTACAGTGCAGTCATCATTGTTCATGCATGCACATTCCAGTCCACTCTCCTTGGCTGCTAGGTTACATCAGTGTCATGCAAACCATTCTCTTTATATCAACAGTGGCTGAACTTTTTCTCGGAAGACCTGTATTAATTAATGCCAGGCATCACAGGGAGCTTAAGAGAATTAAATAGGTAAAGATAAGAAAATAGTAAAATTTAATACAAATGTTAAATATTAATAGAACACTAATTGTAACTCTTATACAGTTACTATTTTTTATAGAAAATGGGACATTAATGAAACAATGATAGTGCCCTGACTTTCTGTCTATCAGAAACATCCCCACTGATGTCTATACAGAGAATGGAGTTATATTATGAGGAGGAAAACTAAACCCAGGATATAATGTTTTTAATCATATAGTAGTGGAGCCATGTTTATCTCAAGAAAATAGTCATTTCCTGGAAAGGAAAAAAGATAATTATTTTCAAACACATTGTAAAACATAACAACTTCATAATGCAAATTTCATTTCACTAAGCCTAAGTACTGATGAGAAGGAGCTCGTCCTAAACCACCATGGTCCCAAGGCCAATGGCACCTGTTCATAAAGCAATCTTTAGGGGACAGAATCACTTAATAGCTGAAATTTGAAGTTTTTACTACACACAGATGCTATATTTTGTTTATATGATGTGACATGTGCAATTGTGTTAACAAAAATTCATATTTAAAATTGGTTCAAGTGTTTTTGTCTGAGGAAAGCCAAGCTGTAAACTGAAAGCTATCCATGTTAGTGTACTGAGGAAAGATTACCTGTTTGAGAGCTCTAACTTGGTATGGTCTAACATTTTCCACTGACTGTGTCCCTTGATAGTGCTTTCTGCCAGTGAGCTCCCAGGAAGGAGAAAGGAAAAGGATGGCATGCAATCCTCTGCAAAGGGGATTTTTGTACCCACAAACAATCCTGGCATGTGTGTTTTATTTCATTATTATTAAAGTTGATAAAATTAAACTTGGAGTCTCATTAGTGCTTCTTCCCAGATCCATCATCCTTCCTCCTTCAGTGAGGGCCACTAAGATGACTTTTGAGGGTATCCTTCCAACCTCCACATAAATATCAGTGACAGCTAATATTATTTTGCATAGGTGTTTTCATAGTTGGAATCATATTGAATATGTTCTATACCTTGCTTTTGTGCAGACCACATTATTTGTTGATTTCAATCATATAGAGACAGAGAATAGAGGAGAGATCCAGTTTATTTATTTTAACCACTCTGCAGTATTCACACCTACAAATCTTCAGTATCTTCATCTGTCCTACTCATCCTTAAATGACTTACATATGTTACCCATTATGAACACTTCCCAATGCTCTCATTTCTTCCACCCCCACTCCCAGGCAGAAGCAAACTCTCAAAAGTGTTATGGGTGTTTACCTGGGGTATCTTATGACATAATAAACTTCTTCCATCAGTTACAGCTTCTCTGTTTGCTTAAAACATCCTCCCAACTAGACTTACCCTCTTTCATCCCATTTCTCCAAGGGCACGTCACAAAGAGTTGTTCATGGCAGCTTCTCATCACACTTGTTGAACTATATTAAGGAGGTATGCCTGGTAGCCATGGCCTTATTTCTATTCTGGATCCCCACAAACTATACTTTCTCAAATAAATTTTTAAGATTGTAACAGTACATTCATTTGAATGCTTCTCACCAAAGGCAACTCAAAGATACATTAATTATAGATTATTAACTTTCCTTATCAGTCAAGCAACCCTGAGGTCAAAATTTCAGATGGATCTAGCTCAGGTGTTTGCTACTAAAATCATTACAGAGAACTGGTGACTACAAAAAGAATGAAAACCCAATCACAAACTAGGAGCAGGCCTTCTGCTTCTCTCCTGCCTCTGCTATTGACCATGTTTAGTTTTCTGCAAAACAGCTATTCCCTAAGGTATGAGCAGGACCAACCATGAGAAGAAAGCTGCTACATTGTAGGCAGCTGTGGGAGGAAAAGTTAAAATGTTTGGTGAAAGAAAAAGATTCAAAAATATTACTTAAGGGGAAGTTTTTGAAGTATCTATAGATTTTTATTTAGTCTGTCATATAACTAAATTGTAATTATTTGGACAAAGTATAAATATAGATATATGCTCTAACAAATCAAATTTCTTTCTTACACTATTAAAGTAGATGTGAATAGTTACCACTCAACAGATAATAGCTCTTGTATCTATTATCCTACCTTTAAGAAGATGATAATTGAGTAAGGGAAGATATCAAGCTTGCAAAGTTAAATAATAATACCTAACAATAGTATGAAACATGTTATAAGAAAAAATATTAAGTTGAGATTTTGATATGTGTCAGTCTTAATATACTAATAATTATCATAGTATCACAAACATTAATAGCTATCATTAATTAGGCATTAAGTTTTACATGATTAAACTTTAACTTTTTGCCTTCATTTAACAGATTAGAAAACTGAGGGCATGAGAGGTTACATGGTAACAGATAGTGGAGACAGGACTGAAACTTAAATCTATCTACCCAGGATCCAAATTCTTGCTATACTATAGGTTAGGGGGATTTTTCCTTAAATTTTGGGTGAAGATATGTCCATATCCTTGGCATCTAATATTTTAGTGTTAACACAGACAACATTAACTATTACTCTTTATTTCCATTGTATTTTAAAATTATTTAGAATAATGGCCTTTTAGCTGTGTCTATTTCATCTTTCGTTTTTCTCTTTAGGGTTGTGATACACAGATGCTTTATAATATGTTGCTAAGATTGAAATCCACTGTCTATTTACCTGGTGATTTTGTCTGCAAAAAGGTGAGTGTGCTATTTTTCAATTGCATGACAGGTAGATAAGTACATGTGAGGAGTTCAGACATAAGTCCAGAGCATAGTTTAAACAAAATTTGTCCAGGGTAAATTCTATAGTATAGCAATAATTATGATATACAGTTCTGTAAAAACAGTAATGTGCTCTCAGAGTTCAAAATATAACAAGACAATATGGATTTCATTACTTAGAGGACATAAAATTTGCCCAGGGTAGTCTGAAAAGTTGTTTTTTATAAATATAAATTGTCAAGCATTATACCCCATTAATCCCAAATTATTTAAGTGGAGGATAAACTTACCAAAATAAAAGATGGTCTGCCCTTATTATGTCTTCCACAAACTATCAGTTATCTGCATTTAACTCACCCAGTTAGTGGATAATTAATGCCACATTTTTAAATTTTACTGTGCTTTTTATGATTACAAAAGTAAAACATATAAAGGCACAAAGACAACAATTCTACTAACCAGAAAAAAAACACTATTGATATGTTTTGGCCTATCTTTTTATATTGCTTGATACAGTTTTATAAATTGAGAGACATCAATAGTAAAAGCCAATAAAATCAAAATGAAAAGTAGAGAAAGAAGAGAAGTTCAAAGAAATGAGAGATGATCCCAAACCCTGGAGAGTTCCCAGGTAAGGGTGGGTGAGAGGTATTTGCATCAGTCCAGAGTCAGGTGTGAGTGCTGTGGTGGTAAGAAGCTTCTAAAGGACAAAGACTGAGGAAACTTGTACTACTGGGGGCAGGCAAGATTTCCTAGGGAACATAATGTTCAAGCTAGGTCTTGAATAATAAATTGCCATGAACCAGGAGGAACCAGGCATTGCAGATAGAGGAAAGAGTTAGCGTGTGCTAAAGCAGAAAGGAAGGAACTGTGTCTGCAGAGGGCATACAGAGAACTATGGTAAATCACAAGAAAACATCAATAAGATAAAAAAACCAACCCACAGAATGGAAGAATGTATTCACTGATGATACAGGGTGCAGCCAAGAGGGGGTTTCCAAAAAGGGATTTGGAATGGGGTCCAGAACTCAAGATGTCTAGGAAATATTAGAAAGACATATAAAATATCCTCACCCCTTCCCCCTCAGGTGTGATTTGGGGGAAGGAACACATGGAACAGGAACATGCAGGGCTGTTTTGTACAGCCACACCTTTGCAGCTAATCCATGGCATGGTCATTTAACATATCTATAGCCTTTGGCTGGTCACTTAGATATGTTAAATAGCTGTGGCCATGCTCTGAGCCAGGGGGATGGAAAGAACTTCCTCCCAATATGTAACTGGGGGGCAGATCCCCCAAGTTACAGTGCCTGTGTGAGAGCTTGGAGAAGATTAGCTCCATGACATGGGGCCACCCTGCCCAGACTCACAATGGCAGCCAAGTAAACTTGGAATAATTCAGGAATGCTGGGAGGTGTAACTGGTTGTAGGAGGAGTCTGAAATGAAGGTGCAGAGGAAGATTGGTGCAAGGATTTAAACCCAGACATGGCAGCCATTAGTAGAGAGAGCCACAAGGTTTTGCCAGAGTGGGGACCCCCAAAGCTTTGGTGGAGAGAAGAACCATGCAGTTTTGGCCAGAGTGCAGACCCCCTGCAGCTCTGGTAGAAGAGGACCACGTGTTTTTGGGGTGCTCCCTTTGGCCACGTGGCCTGGGAAGCAGGAGAGACTTTGCCTGGAAGAAGGGTGAAAGAACTCTTGCCAGTAGGCCATGAGAAGGTGCCACATGGCTTTGGATTAATTAGAGATCCTGCCTGGACAGCAACACAGCTAACGGTGTCAGAAGTCTAGATCCCAGATGTTGCTTCTTTTCCTGAGTTATGATACCTTGAATTAGGGCAGGGGGAGAAGGAAGCACTGTGGGCATCTGTGGGTATCCCTAAAGGACTCTGATATTTTAATGAAGACATTAGGTCACTACTTTAAGTCTATATAGCATTACATAAACATTTCTTTTCTTTTTCACAAATCTCTGGCATTGAGACATGACCAACCACGGGCCTGCAGTGAGCATGGAATGCTGCAGATGGCTCATCAAAACATGAGAAAAAGATACACAGAGACATCCAGGTCCTGTGAGGAAATAGGGATGGAATGGCCACTCTCCCTAGTGGAAAGTGCCTTGGCCTCCCTCCCTAGGGCATAGCGCCTCATTCTCCCACCCGAGCAGGCTTTTATTAGGTTCATTTACACAGGAATTCAGGTAAAGCTCATTGAACATTGCTAGGCAGATGAAACAATAGATAACAAGGAACTCTGAGGGCCTATTTTGAGTCAGGGTCAGATAGCTAAAGAGCTGTAAAACCTTGAGGAACAAAGTTACTTCTTGCTTGGACCCTTATCATTTCATTGAAAGCATTCTAAACAAAGCAGGTTTCACAGAATTTTACATATTCTTTCTTAGGCCTGATCACCTGGGGAACCCGCCCTTTCCAGCATAGGGTTGCACTACCCTCTGTCATTGTTTCAGGCTTAGGTAGAGCAAGGGAAGTAAGACAGCCAAGAGATTAGGATATTTTCTCACAGACAATGAGGACTCAGGCTATGTCAAAGCCAAGGGGTGAGGGTCCATCACCCCCTTTTGCTGTAGCCCCCCAAAGTCCTTCCTTGGGGGCCTTCCATGTGATCGTGCCTGTCTTAAGGTCATTCCCCCCTTGGGGAATCTTACCCATCATTGGCTAACTGACCAAGCATTGGGGGCCAGTTATGGATGAAGTAAAAGGAGCAGAAGTGGTGCTTCTGCCAGGGAGATAAGCTTTGCCTCCTTAGTGGCTTACGGTCCAAGGTCGTTCCCTCAGCCTTAGCCTTGGCAGGGATTACAGCTTCTGAAACCAGGCAGGGTGGGTCCCAACAGAGAGATGTCTTTCCTATAAGGCAACAAACAATCCAGCCCACTAGGGGGTCCTTTTGGTTATAGTATATCTCCCTTGGCCCCCTGTGTTCTGTAACATTGATACATTTGACAAGTGGTTAATATCCAAAATTTGTATAGAACTTACAAAATTTAAAACCAAAAACAACGCAATAAAAAAATGGGCAAAGACCTGAATAGACACTTCTCCAAAGAAGACATACAGATGGCCAACTGACATATGAAAAGATGCTCAGCATCTCTAATCATCAGAGAAATGCAAATTAAAACCACAATGAGATATCATCTCACACTTGTCAGAATGGCTATCACCAATAAATCAACAAACAACAAGTGCTGGGGAGGATGTGGAGAAAGGAGAATCCTTTTTCACTGTTGGTGAGAATGCAGACTGGTGCAGCCACTATGGAAAGCAGTATGGAGATACCTCAAAAAATTAAAAATGGATCTGCCTTTGGACCAAGAAGTTCCACTTTAGGAATATATCTGAAGGAATCCAAAAATTAATTCTAAAGAACATAAAGACCCTTAGGTTCATTGCAGTATTATTTACAAGCAACCACAAGATGTGGAAGCAGCTTACGAGTCCATCAGTAGGTATGTGGATAAAACAAATATGGGGCCTTCTGGCGAAGATGGAGGCATAGGTAGCTACACTTTGCCTCCTCACACAACCAAAAGAAGGACAACAACAAATTTAAAAACAAACAATAACCTGAACTGCCAGAAAAATGAACTGTATTGAAGTCCTAACAATCAAGGAGTTAAGGAAGAAACATTCATCCAGACTGGTAGGAGGGGAAGAGACAGGCAGCTGGCATGGAGAGGACTCCCAGCAAGGTGACGGCAGGAGGAATGGGGAAGGCAAAGTTTCAGCTGGCAGACTGGGTGAGGTGGTGGCTGGCAGAGTGAGCAGTCCCACATTTGCATGCAGATAAACTGGGAGGAACAACTGGGGAGCAAGACAACTGGCATAACCCAGGGATCCAGTGTGGGAAAATAAAGCCTCAAAACCTCTGACAGAGAAAATCTATGGTGGTTGAGACAGCAGAAGAAACTCCCAGCCTCACAGGAGAGTTTGTTGGAGAAACCCACAGGGTTCTAGACTATACATAAACCCACCAACCTCGGAATCAGCACCAGAAGGGTCCAATTTGCTTGTGGGTAGTGGAGGAAGAGACTGGAAACTGGCTGAGAGCTGAGCAAGCAGCATTATTCCCTCTCAAACACCTCCCCCACATACAGCACCAGAATGCAGTGATGTGGGTTGCCCCCCTCCCCCAGGAAATACCTAAGCCTCCACCCCTTACTACATAACGGGCACTGCGAGACAAAGAAAATATGACCAAATGAAAGAACAGATCAAAGCTCCAGAACACATACAACTAAACAATGAAGAGACGGCTAACCTATCAGATGCACAGTTCAAAACATCAGTAATCAGGATGCTCACAGAAATGGTTGAGTATGGTCACAAAATAGAGGGAAAAGTGAAGGCTATGAAAACTGAAATAAAGGGAACCAACACTGAAGGGAAGGAAACCAGAGCTCAAATCAAGGGTTTGGAAGAGAGGGAAGAAAGAAACATTTAACCAGAACAGAATGAAGAGACAAGAATTCAAAAAATGAGGATAGGCTTAGGAACCTCTAGGATAACTTTAAATGTTCCAACATCTAAATCATAAGAGTGCCAGAGGGAGAAGAAGAGCAAGAAATTGAAAACTTCTTTGAAAAAATAATGGAGGATTTCCCTAATCTGTCAAAGAAAATAGACTTCTAGGAAGTCCAGGAAGCTCAGAGAGTCCCAAAGAAGTTGCACACCAAGGAACATCATCATTACATTACCCAAGATGAAAGATAAGGAGAGAATCTTAAAAGCAGAAAGAGAAGAGGAGACAGTTACCTACAAAAGAGTTCCCATAAGACTATCAGCTGATTTCTCAAAAGGAAACTCATAGGCAGGAAAGGCTTGGAAAGAAGTAATCAAAGTCACGAAAGGCAAGGACCTACATCCAAGACTACTCTATCCAGCAAAGCTATCATTTTGAATAGAAGGGCAGATAAAGTGCTTCCCAGATAAGGTCAAGTTAAAGGGGTTCATCATCA